TGAATGAGTCAAGATAGTTTTGATTTGCCTTCTTCTTCCTTACAAACATTTCTAATGTTTGATTATTCTTGCATATTTTTAAAATCCTGTTACTTGATTAAATTTTGCAAGCACAGTTGTACTTGCTTTTCTAAAAAGCCTAAAAAAAAAAATAAAAAAAATCAGTAAAGATACAAGTACTTCTTACATTTGAAATCTCTGGCAAAAAAAAAAAAAATAATAATAATGATGATGCCAGGAAGTATTTACTTGTTACCTCAGAAGAAGCTATGCAAAAATGATAAGCAGGCCCGATTGACAGACAATAGTGACCTGGGAAATTCCTTTTGGTTTACTTATGTTAGTGAAAGAAATTAGTTTTATCTCTTTCTTTTTCTCCTGTCAGACCTACTTGGGCAGGACAACAATGAGATTGAATTGAGATCATTTTCTGTCTCGTGAAACATCAGCACAATTACTCAATTCCAATCTCCTCGACAACTTCTGCTCATTGTTATTCCCTTTTAAATCTGTTGTGGGCAGGATGGCTGCCTGGATGAAAGCAGGAATGAAATTTTTCCAGAAAAATATTTGTTATTGAAGATTATACATAAACATGAAAGTACAGAACTTGGCTTTCTGATAGGAAGCAAGGCTGGGAAATGTTAAAAACACTTTCATATACATAATTTAGTGGTTGGGGAGTGAAATAATAGTAAATACAGACTCATACTGATACATTTGGAGTCATTTTTCAGAGTCTGATGTGTTTTAAACAGGTTGGGAAGGTGATCTTTAAGGTCTTTTCCAACCTGAGCGATTCCATGATACATAGATTTTATTTAAAAAACAAACAAAAAAAGAAAAAAAACAAAACAACACAACTTCACAAAGCTAATCATCCTGATCATAAAAGCCAGAGTAGTCCTATTCATTTTCATAGGACTTGAGTCTATTATGCCATGTTAGGATGTGGCTGTGAAGATATAAATACATTGGGAAATCAGTAAGTTCAAGTAGATATCAGCTTTGATTCCTTTAATATTTCATTAGTATTTTTCTCCTGACAAACAAAGCACATTTTGATGAAAATTTGTAATCTTTTTTGCCTATTTTGAAAATGAAAAAATGAAAAATGAAACTAATTAAAAAATGTTTTCATATCAGTACTTGAAGCATCCATAGAATAACCTGGGGTTAGTCTTCTAAAGACATTCCCAGTGGCATTTGAACTCATCAGGTGGAATGAAATAGGTAAGAGCCTGGAGTTGTCTCTCCATTCAGTGTTTTATAGCAAGCTTCTAAGAGTCTGTATATCTATAGTGCTAACATAATGCAAGTAATTTGTGAGAAAAAGATAAGAAACCTTTATCACAGATGGTACTCAGTAGTCTAGTTTTCAGTCTAGTTTATTTTTTTCCACAGTCTATCCCGTTCACAGGCCAGAGTGTTGATATTAGGAGATGATGATGTAATTAACCTATTCCATTTTGCAATTAAAAAAACAAAGCAGCAAGATTTTAATCAGGTTCTGTTTTCTTCTGATTGAGATTATTGTTGTATTCTGCTGGTGCTGCTAACAATTTTAATAGGGTAACTATGTTTCATTATTTCAGCATTCATGAGCTCACACTGTATTTTCTGTGGTTTGTTATTTAAACTGTATGAATGCCTGTAACAAATGTTTTATACCAGAAACTGCTCTTTGTAGTGGAATAAGATTACTTGCTCTGAGGATAAAACTGCTCAGTGCCCAGTAAGCAATTCTCTGCTTCATTATTAATTGACTACAGTTTCCTTCTCTACGTTATAACTTAATTTCAGGGTAGGATTTTAGATTTCTCTTCAGACTGTTAAATAAAGGCTAGGATTTGCTAAGCTGCAATGGTGTAACTGGATCTGTGAAAACAATAGTTGAAGACAAACAAGGTAAAAAGCTGAGAAGAAGGAAAGTTCTCTTGAAGAAAGAATAAGAAAAAATATGCATTCTTGTTAATTTGTACTAATGAAAAGATGCCTTAATCCATATAATAAAGAATATTACTTTTAGCAAAAAAATATGAGTAGAAGAGAATAGGAATGATGGTAGAAAATTGATGAATTATTCTTAACACGGTACTAAATCTGAAGTCAAGAGTTTCATGTACGACATGAGTCAACATGGGAAAAGCAGATGTCATGAAAGCTGAAACTTTAACCCTTACGGGTGCATATCGTAAGTGCAGCATATTGGAGCAGGCAGCTCAAGCGTGGTAGTGACTGGACTGTAATGGTTAATGTACTGGGTGCAAAAATACCTTTTGCCTAAAGCCTGTGTTATTACAGAACAGATTATAGACAATAGGTGTAGAATTGTTTGAAAGAATGAATTACAGAACTTCGCAAATGCAGGAGCTGCCGGGGAGTGTTCCAGTGAACACTTTTCCCTCAGCCTTTGTGTAATGTGTTGCTTCTTTGTGTCTTTATGTGCAGAGTGTGATGAATTACTTGAGTATTCCCAAGGCAGCTAGTGGCTGTTATCACTTCACCTTGTAAGAGCAGGTACTTGGAGCTATTCATTTCGATTTGTTTTGCAAGGTAGTATTTTTAATTCTTTCCCTAAAAGAAATTTGGAAAAAGTGCTACAGAGTGTATATTTCTTGACTTAGGAGAACTTGGCAGCCTAATCTTATGAGAGGTGTTCCTGGCCATGGCGGAACGGTTGAGCTAGATGGTCTTTAAATGTTCCTTCCAACCCAAACCGTTCTATGATTCTCTGTAAGAAGGTAAAAGTTCCCTCTGGTATCCATCCCTGGATAAAGTTTGTGAAATTATAGTGAGCTACAATGTGCTGAGCTCCTCACAGGTGAGAGGGACAGAAGATGAAACAAGCTCAAGGAGTGATTTCATGCTAAAATTAGATCACTGTTTACTGTGTTGCATGTGAAGACTGTAGATAAAATCAAGTTCTGATTAAATAGGCAACAAGAATGTTGCCCAGAGAAGATTCTTTTGAGGGCCAGAGATTGACACAATTTTCTCACTTTTCTGTTAGGTCTAAGTCTAACAGAGTCTAACAAAGAGCCAGAAAAAATGTCAAATATATGTTGAACAGTGGCTAAAATTCAAAATCCTGTCAAACTTACATGGCAATGCCTTCTCTCTGGTTCCCAAAGCATATTCTCTCAGATTACTCATTTTACTTATGTTAGAATTCACACTGTTCTTTCTGCAACAGAACCTGAATTTCCCTTACTTGCATAAGTTTGCTTTTCCTAATTTAAATGAACTATAAAATTGTAGCACTTAATGCATATGATTTAATGTGGAGAAGTGATGAATTCATGTGATATCAGGTACCTTACTAGGAAAAAACTTTTCCTATTTACAAAAAGGTTATCCTACTTAGATCTAAAATGAATGTTGCTATTTAAGTGTTGATTTTTCTGTGGGATAGAAGTGTCTTCTCCAAATGTAATGCTTGTTTTTTTAGAAGCCAATTGGATGCTTGAAAAGATATACGTTTGGTGGCATCTTCATACCACCCACACTGTAAGGCTTCTCTAGGCATAAACTGACTGCCAATTCAAACTGACCTGACAGTTCTGAAATTGATATTTGAATGGAAAGGCAATAGGGAATCGGATGCAGCCACTGTGGTGCTGTGAGTGTGCAGATGGATCCTAGAGATTGAGAGGGATAATGCATTTAGGCATATTTTAAATCAAAATGTAAAGATCTAATGGTCAGTTATATTTAATGAAGCTGGATGTTGGTTCCTTGAGGTCCTTTCCAACCCAAATCATTCTATGATTCTAAGCTGATCTTTTCCCAAAGGTCAAGTTCAATTAAACCCAAGATAAAAACTTATCATCTGGTGACTTGAAGTCATAAAATGAAGATTAGATATCAGATTGATCACTTTGCAAGTTTCATCTGCCTCCAAAATATAAGTCTAGGCTTTCCCCTTCTGAATTTAGCAATGCTGTCTGACTGACACAATTGGTGTTGATATAGTTTGCTGCATTGTTCGGTTTACTGTCGTAGAATTATCAGTAGAGTTCTATGAAATATTAAGTAGCAATCTATTCTTAGTGATTTTATGAGGACAACACTACGGAATGTCGTGTAGCATTACTTATACTGCATGTTAATCTCTACTTACAGCCAAAGTAATTCATTGAATTGTGTAAGTAAAATCAAGGGATTGTGAAGGGAAAGTACTGCACTCTCAAAAAGAAATGTACAGCTTTTCAAAGTACAGTTTTCCAAAGGAAACAATTATGTTTCATAGATCTGATATGGATTTGGAGCACTAACTTTTTTTTTTAAGAGAGAGCATGCTCTGCAGAGTAATGTCTTAACTTTTCATCTAGTTTTAGTTAATCTTCGTACTTCATCCTTACAGATGCATTCTAATAAGCAGTCTTGAGAATGAATGCCCATCTCTGATAGAAGAATATCATGCAAGCAGCTGTGTAATTCTGGACAGTTACTATTGGACACCACCTAATGCCTTTTATCTTAGACTGAAAATCCAACAGTTAGAATCCTGAAGGAAACCATGATGAGAACTACGTGGCTTCCATGTTTTTTTTACGGAATGAAACAGGGTTTTTTGTTCGTTTTTTTCTCATTCATTGATGATATTTCATGTTTCAAATCAGTCATGTTAGATATTTGCTGTTCTAACAATACAAGTGTATGGATATTTCATAGCAGATTCTTTTTCTGAGATGATACTGAATCGCTGGTAGGTCTCATAAGGTCAGTGTTCCATAAATCTAGAAGGAAAGTTAAAGCAATACAACAGCAATATCAGGGGACTTGTATAGGTTACTTCCTTTTCTCTTTCTTTCTAATCACAGATTTTTTTCTTGCTCTAAATATGTTTTTCCATTGCTGTGGCTGTTTTCATTACCTCTCACTACACTGTAACCTCTGTACCAGGCATGCATGCACACTTTTGCTGTTTTAGGCCACCGTTAAATCACTCATTCATCCATTTATTTGGACCTGTCTTTCTCTGCCTTTTCCCTTAGGCTTATTAGCACTGCTATATATTGCTGCCAGCCAGCAGCCCTGTTCCCTGCTACCTGTGGTCATGGCAGCTTTCTCCGTCACCTTCTCTCTCAATACTGGTGAAAAACAGCACACTGAGGATTATATGGAGCATGAAATGGTCCAGGAACGGCTTTTCTCGTGCTACTTAAACTTCATTTAATGAAGCTGAAATACAATGCCATCAGCTGAAATATGTGATGGGAATTCACCTCATCGGCTCAGGAAAACATCTGTTGTGGTGATCTGAAGCTGTCTTAGCCAAAGGCTAAACTGTGCTATTTTTAAAGCACATTCCCATCATGGAAACGAGGAAATGGAGTCAGTGGAGCAGTGCACAAAGGAATGATTGAAAGTTTGAGATATATGTTGTGGTGGAGAGAGCAGGAAGCCACTGAAGCTAATGTTTAGGACAAATCAAAATCTAACAATTCTGTTTTTTCAATTGTTTTAAGAATGTCACGCTCATCATTCTGTTTTTTATTAAAAGATGCTGGAATATTTTGGACCATATTTCTGATTCTTCTCCATCTCTTGTTTTGCAGTCATTTCTTACCAAATTGAACAGTGTAGGATAATTGTTCCAGACAAAGTAAGAGTATCAGACTCTGTTCATAACACAGACCCATTCCAAACCATTTCATAATCAACCCAGAATGGCTATTTCATCTCTTTGTCTGGGTCATAAGTTTACTGACCCAACACATGAAGGAAAACAAATAGAAATTTACTGCTCCACTGAAATAACTAATCACCCATGCATTAGGAAGGAATACAACTGCAGTATAATCATGAGATAAAAAAGGCAAAAGCTACTGCAAATGAGGGAAATAGAGATAATGATGCATTCCAGCTCCATGCAGATAACTATGGATAAGTAATTACAGTGAGATTATTGGAGTGTGGCCATTTCTTTTCTTTTGCTAAAGTGTCTGTTACATGTTTTTCTCCTTGACTGTGGGACATGCTTTTTATTGTCCGTGTTTAGGGTAAGAGTTGGATATTCAGAAATGTTGACAAGAACTCAAGACTGCTTCCATTGCAAGTCTTGCAGTCACGCTGATGAGAGCAAAGTTTTGCACTAACAGTAAAACTCTGAATGTTCGAGTACTGTGTTCAGTTTTGGGCCCTTCACTACAAGAAAGACATTGAGGCCCTGGAACATGTCCAGAGAAGGGCAACGAAACTGATGAGGGGTCTGGAGCACAAGTCTTACGAGGAGCGGCTGAGGGAGCTGGGATTGTTCAGTCTGGAGAAGAGGAGGCTCAGGGGAGACCTCATTGCACTCTACAACTTCCTGAAGGGAGGTTGTAGTGCAAAAGGGTCTGGCCTCTTCTCCCAGGCAAATAGTAGGACCCGAGGAAACGGCCAGAAGTTATACCAGAGGAGGTTTAGGTTGGATATTAGGAGAAACTTTTTCTCTCAAAGGGTGGTCAGGCACTGGAATGGCTGCCCAGGGAGGTGGTGGAGTCGCCGTCCCTGGTAGTGTTCAAGAGGCACCTAGATGAGGAGCTACGAGAGATGGTTTAGTAGCTTGTGGCACTGATAGGAATGGGAGGATGGTTGGACTAGATGATCTTGCAGGTCGTTTCCGACCTTGTGATTCTGTGATTCTGTGATAAGCCTCTAAAAATACATCCTTGTTTAGATACACAAGCAAGTACTTGTACTAGCAAGTACTTGTAACTGGGAGATTTGCTGTATGCAATTCTGATTCAGGTTCAGTCCTGAAGATGTTTATGGATATGGTTAACTTTGCATGTGGTTTCAAAGCTAATAGCACAAGTGACAGTGTTTAAAATGAAGAATGCAAGCTCTAGGACCTTGCAAAATGCAGGATTCACGCCCTAAATTCTATGAAATAAATAATGGCACAGAATTAACACAGCTGGGAAAAACAATCATAAGAAATGAAAATCCTCCATTTAATTCCTGCAGGGGGGGGGGGAAAGAAGGAAAAAGAAGCAACAAAAAAAACATTGATTGTACAATGTTCTCTTCTTGCAGGGTCCTCAGGAAGAAGTTATAAATTTTTACTATCTAGCAGAATACAGTGCAATTCTCCTTCTATAGCAAATCCACGCAGTGACATTTTTGAAATCTTTGAAACTCTTGGCCTTCCAATGTTTGATGTTGGTGGTCCATAGCAGTAATTAACTGGACTGTCTTAAAGAGGATACAAAACTGGAGAAACTGCATTCTCACTTTCAGTTACCTGATTTGAAAAATAGCAAGGAATGCTTTTCATTTATCACTCTGTGGTTGTGTGATAAAGGAATTGCAGCAATCTACCATTCACTAATCTTGCTTCAAGCTTGGTTCAATCCTGGTGGCTTGATAGACATGTTACTTTGTTATTTAGGCAGTTTTTCCTCCTATTCCAAATTGGGATTGAGGTTGTCCTAGCGTGTATTTGTGACCATATGACTCTTTCACCCCACTTAATTTTTATCAGTCAGGTTCCTCTACTGGAGCTAGCTGCATGATTAGAAAAGGGTGCTATTTTAGGCCACAATTCATCTAACTGAAAAAAGATCCTAAAGTGGGTGACAGACTGTTCAGGTGGGAATGTCTGTGCTTCAGGTGCCTAAAAAGCACTGTGTGTTCCAGCTGCACAGATCAGAGAGAGCATGGCAGGAAGGGGACAGAGAGAGACAGAGGGTGAGCACAAAGCTAGGATGATGAAAGGATGTATTTTTTAATGCCGTTAAATGTCTTGGAGATGTTACACACAGCTTTAAAGCTCAAAAATCAGGCTAGATGTACAGAATGGGCTCTTCTGTGCAGTCAATTAGTTTAAGACCTGATACAATGAGTAGAAATCTAGGTCCCACTACAGAGCTCAGAAAATTCTTTCTCAGGTGGATAGAGGCCCTGTTTCTACCCCTGTACAATGGAATGGTTCTTTACAACAGTATGTACAGAAAATCAGCAAATTTTCAGTGGTGGAGGACTAAGGCTTGATCTAAACTCACTTGCTTTGCAGCTGAAAGAAAGAACAATTCTGTTTGGATAAAGAAGGAAGAAATGTGACTTTAGGAGGCTGTTTATGCTATTTGGTTCCTTTCATGTTTCCAGCCCTGAAAGCTGCTGCTTGGTTGAAATTTTAGAATAGTCTCAGGTGAAATGAGTTGGGCTGTGAATGGATAATTTCAGTTTTAGGGTGTGACTCTTAGGGCTAATCTGCTAGGGCCACATGCTGCAGAGAACTGGGCTGGTGTAGAGCTGCTGTTCTGGCTCCGATGCAGTGAGTGGAATTTAAAAAGTGGACTTTTCCCTTTGGACTTGATTAGTACAGGTAGGCTATTCTTTTGATCATAACTTAATATCCATCTCTGTCCTTTTCAGTATAAAACTGATGTTGAAGTAAGAGTTGTTGAATATCCTGTACCTATGCAATTTTTTAGAGATGCAAAACCAACAGACCAACCCTGTTCTGCTGGGTGATTCATTAAGGAACAAAGCTGTATTAGTCCTTAGGAGACCATACTTTTCATCATAGAAGCACAAGATCCTCAACGATAGACAGGTGTTTAATCTCAGCTGCTTCTGCAAATGGTTGCAAAAGAAGTATCTCCTAATCTTGGTTTTAACTGAAGGTCTACAGAAATCAGTGTAGGATTCCCAGAGGGTTTACTCTATCCAATAGGTGGGAGAGTTCTAAGCTGATTTTAGATGGGAGTCTTACTTGAAATGCTGTTTGGTTATACTGTACATTTGATAAGTTGTGTGTCATTGCTGTTACACATTTACTATTGGAAATCTGCATAGCCATCAGAATTTTTTTTGTTTACAAGTACTAAAAAATTTTCATGTGTGTTTGTCAGCTCAGCCATCCAACTTGTTGCATTGTTTATAAAAAAAAAAAAAAAAAAAAAAAGGCAAACACTCAAGGGAAAAATGTACAGAAGAAATAAATTGATCACATTTACTGTACAGGTGTATCTATGAGTTACTTTCTAAATTGTGACACAGAAGAATCCACCGTTCAAGCAGCAGTGATGTACTGAATGAAAGGACTCCATTCTGTATGGAGGAATTATTATGAATTCTCAACTATTCTACAGCAGAAGCTGTTTGTTTGAGATGAATAGACACTATTACGCTGTCATACTGAAAGATGGTTTCTTTCAGCTAGCTCTGTCTGTGAGGTGTTTTGTCTAAAATGTATAAAAACTGGATGTCTTTATAGTTTTCAAATGAAAAGAGGTGGCAATAATGGCAAGTGGTTAGAAACAATGAAACCAGTGCACCTTAAACACCTTTCTTCAGAGTAGGCAATTTATATGTTACCTGAGGGAGAAGGCAACCACCCATCTATTTCTCACGAGGGCAGTGTCGTTAGTATTTGTATTTATGACTTTGTATTGTTAAGAAGAGGTACGAAACATGAATAAAGACAAAATTGTAGAATGGATGCTAACAGCCACAGGTCCCATAGGAAAACCCAGTAGCACCATTTGTGCTTCACCTGCTACATCTGTTAACTTTCTGAGATTCTGAGCATAGAGTCTTTTTAGTTGGAAGTGACATTAAATGTCATCTAGCCTAACTCCCCTATAATGAACAGGGACACCTACAGCTCCATCAGCTTGCTGTCCAGCCTGACCTTTAGTGTATACAGGGACACAGTACTCCAGGTGAGGCCTCACCAGCATGGAGCAGAGGGGCAGGATCTCCTCCCTCGCCCTGCTGGCTGTGCTTCTCTTTTGATGCAGCTCAGCATCGAGTTGGCTTTCTGGGCTGTGAGGGCTCATGCTGGCTCATGTCCTGCTTGGCGTCCACCAGTACTCCCAGGTTCTTTTTTTGCAGTGGCTGGATTCCTACGTTTTAAGAGCCTTGAGATTGGTGCTCTTGATGCGTTTCTGCCAGGCTCATCTCAGAGTGGACTGCAGCAGAATGTTTATGCTTAGGCTGATTTTCAAGCACCCAACAGAATGCAAACAAATAGCGAGATATATAAATTTTCTAGTAGTTTTGCTTTTTGATATAAGAATAGAAATCATTAAAATTGGAAAAGTCCTCTGACACCATGAAGTCCTACCATCAGCTCATCCCTATCATGCCTAATAATCATATCCTTCAGTGCCACATCTCCATGGTTCTTGATCACCCCCAGGAATGGTGACTCCACCACCTCCCTGGGCAGCTTGTGTCAATGCAATACCATCCTTCAGAGAAGAAATTTTTCCTGATATCCAACCTGAAATATATCCCTTAGGCTGTAAACTTTCTTGCGGCATATAATGTTTTGAACATAGGAGCACAGGAACTGTGTTTCTGAGATGGATCTTGACACATCAGCTTCTCCCCATGTGAACACCTTCATGCTACATGCTGTGCACCCTGTGAACTGCTGATTTGTATCCTGTATTTCTTATGGACATCTGTTCACAACAGTGTTTAAAGTGATTTTCCTAGTTTAGAACAAAATAGTTGTCACAATCATAGCTGGATGCTGGCCTGGTGGCTAATTCTCATTAAAGAATGAGTAGGTCTTT